CGCGAATAAGTCTGGCGGTCCTGATATTCAACAATCGAACGAACGGCTCGAGGCCCTTGTGAGAGATCGTGATACGTTGCGCGCAGAGGTGACCGATATGCGGAAATCGTTGGAGGAAATTCAAACCAAACACCATGCAGACATGGAAGCTCTGCAAGAGAGACTAGATGACGCTGAGAGCAAGAAGGAGCATGCGGAAACGCAGTTCCAGAAACTCTTGGAAAGGGTGAATACGATCAAGTCCCAGCTTGGAGAGAGACTCCGGGAAGACGCAGTATGTTCTACCGCCTCAAGTCGAACCTCCGTTCACTCTTGACTAAACCTCGGATAGGAAGAAATTGCGCAAGCGAGATCGAGAATCGAAGAGCTGGAAGAGCAGAATTCGACCTTACAGGAGGAAACCCAACACAAGTCTACTGAATTAGAGCAACTATCGCAAGCAAACAGCGAGATGTCGAAAGAGCTTTCAACATTGCGGGACCGCACAAGTCTATCACAACAAAATTGGCTTAAGGAGAAAGAAGAATTGCTTGAACAGGAAAATTACCTACAATCCGAGTTTGAGCAGGCTAAGGAGGCCATGCATAACTGGGAAGTGCTGGCAATGGAGGAGCGGTCAGTCAGAGAAAGCTTGGGGGAGAAAGTCGTAGATCTAGAGGAACAGCTTGCTACCGTGAAGGATGCTTACGAGAAGACTGCTGCCGAACGTGATTCCCAATTGGTCACTGTGGATGGGCTGCAGCGTGCGCTACAAGAGATACAGACAGGTGAGAGCATGATCGTGTGCAAATGACGACTGCAGATGCTTACAAGGCAATAGCACGTAAAAAGGAACTCCGTGAGCTTGTGGAAAGCTCCGATGCTCAGCTAGAAGAGTTGAAGCAGGCGCTTCAAGGCGCAGAGGAAAAAGCCTCGAAGGCCGACAAAGCTCTCCAGGATGCCCAAACAGAGCTTGAGCGGGTACGGCCGTTTGAGAAAGAGGTCAAGGAAAAGAACCTCTTGATTGGGAAGCTCCGACATGAAGCAGTAACGCTGAACGACCACCTGACAAAGGCCCTGCGGTTCCTCAAGAAAGGCAAGCCAGAGGACAATGTTGACCGGTATGTCAGACTTTCGCCAATGAGTCCAACTCTTGAAGAACACTGCTTACAAGCTGCTATAGTCATATTGTCACGAACCACTTGTTGCATTTCCTTGCTCTCGACCGGTCAGATCCCAAAAAGTTCCAGATCCTGCAGCTTATTGCCGCCCTCCTAGGCTGGTCTGATGGTGAGCGAACCACACCGGCGCCTGATATATTTCTACCTATACGGTAATGCTGACAATACACGATAGAGCAACGTGAGCAGGCAGGTCTGGCGCGTCCAGGGGCGTCTAGCACGTCTAGCAAACTGAGGGTGCCGAGCACTCCCGTCCACCGCACGCCGAGCAGCCAGACTTTGGCAACGGAATTCCTGGATAATGGGAACTCCAACAAAGAGTCGCTAGCGGAGCTGTGGTCCAATTTCTTGGAGCAGGAGTCGCAGAGTGCCGAGCAATTACCACCAAAGCCGTGAAATAGAGACACCGTGGCTGCTGTCACTGCTGCTCAGAATTCGACCAATCCTAAGTAGAATCCGGGCAGATGCGGGTGTTTTCTTTAATAGGTTGTACGATAAGCAGGCTCTTATCAGAATATGTATTCGCCATCACCTTGTCCTAACTTTATATATCTTTTCCTAAAACGGCTGGCGCCCCCCACCGCCTCTGGTTCTGCCATACGGTGCCACCCAAAGTAACGGCAAAGCACCGACATCCCACCTCCGGCTTCCCATACATATACAATTAGTTCATGCATTCTTGCCCGTTGAGGCCCCGTGTTCTCTCCTATTTGAAGATTATTCGTACGCCTTCAGCAGTCCGCTCCTCAGTGTTGACAATGGCTACCAGTGCTGGTGCGTCTTTTTGTGTCAGGAAAGGTTGACTCAATCAATATCCTGACCATGACTCCCAAATTAGTGCACAAGTTCCGTCCGGTGGTGGTGTCCGGTCCCTCAGGTACAGGAAAATCGACTCTGCTGAAGCGACTGTTCGCGGAGATTCCTGATCGCTTCGGTTTTTCCATCTCGCGTTCGTTCAACCTCCCCTGATTGTCACCCCGTCAGCACGAACGCACTGTAATCTGACCTGGTGTTTTGCGACAATAGATACCACTCGTGCTCCTAGACCGGGTGAGCAGGATGGCCGCGAATACTATTTTACGACAAAGGAGGACTTCTTAGATCTTGTGAGCAAGAACGGCTTCATCGAGCATGCGCAATTCGGCGGAAACTACTACGGCACTAGTGTGCAAGCGGTCAAGAACATTGCGGAGCAGGGCCGTATCTGTATCCTTGATATCGAGATGGAGGTAAGGATCTGTTCATTCTTGTTGCCGGCGAAAGTGATGCCGCGATGCATGGTATAAGCGTTCAGAGAAGATGCTGATAGCATTTTACTGGAATAGGGAGTCAAGCAGGTGAAGCGTACCGATCTCAACGCCCGTTTCCTTTTCCTGGCGCCCCCCTCGGTGGAGGAGCTGGAGAAGAGATTGCGCGGGAGAGGCACGGAGACTGAGGAGAGCCTGACCAAGCGTCTCGCACAAGCCAAGAACGAGCTCGAATATGCCAAGGAGCCGGGGGCTCACGACAAGGTCGTCGTTAATGACGATTTGGAGAAGGCATATACGGAGTTGAGAGATTGGATCGTTGATGGTGGAAACTTCGGTGCGTCGCAATAGTCGGTTACAGACAGTCTGATGCTGCAGTGGCCATTGCGCGTTTTGATTAGTATGGAGTTTTAGACCATGTGATTCCCATAGATTTTACTGTGCGAAGAACAGTAATGACTCATTGTTTCGAACCAGCTATATTCTCCTGGCGATGCGCAATTAAGGGAATTAAGTACAGGAAATGACGAGACGACGCTTAGCGCTTTCGTTGCTAGCTCTTTTCGACCTGGAATAACCAATTCATATGAAACAAAGCAAGACGAATACCCCTCATTCAATGGTGGAGAGGGTAGGATAAACACTAATACGATAAGGAAAAGCCTGAAGTTAAAGAGGATATCTGTAAGAACATGCCGATAAGAAGGTGGTGCAGTAAAATCAAAACATGGAAAGAAAAGCGACCCTCAAGACTGCATTTCTGGGCCTTTGATGGATCGCGGATACATGGCAATGGTTCGTTTCAAACGGTCGCTCCACGAGTCCACCGCCATCAACTGATTCTCAGCCAAATTAATAACCGTTCATAGTCATGCGTTGCGAGTTGCGGCTGAGCTCTCTGTCTGCCGAAGGACTGATGGGACGGCTGCTACCGGGGTGGCTCCCAGCGGCACTGCTTTCCTTCAGTGCTAGCAGCTGCTTGGCACGGAAGGTCTCATAGTGGATCTGGCTGGTCGTCTCGATAAGGTCCTGCAGATGAGTGCGAGTGAGGAAGTTTCTCAGGTAGACGAATTCACAGTGGTTCTCATCCTCCACATTGATAACACCCCAGCGGTTTTGACGTCCGCGAACCTGCTGGCCATTAACGACGATGGTGCGTTCGCTACCCACAACAGCAAAAGGAATGATGTCCTGGACCGGCGTTAGAGGCAGAGATAAACCAAATGTTGTGCAACAATGATTCGCGTACCTTGATCTGGACGTTGACGGCACGCTCTTCATCATCAAGTTCGTCATTGTCGTAGGGGTACATCTTCAAGTTGTGGAAGGCAAACTCTTCCTTGATTCTCTCCTTGAATGCCTGACGCTCTTCGAGGGTAAGGGAGTCGGCCTTGGCGATGACGGGAACAACGTTGACAACGTCCGACAGCTTCTTGAGCACAACGATATCAATGGGCTTGAGACTGAATGAAAGTAGAGTCGGTTAGCCTCCCGGGAGAAATTCTCGGTGATGGACGCTCGATGAGACTTACGCATGGCCGGACGGCTGGATGAAGAACAGACAGCAGTGAATACGGGTATCCTGGATGTACCGGTCACGCTGAGCGGTAAGCTCCTTGCGGAGGTATGCGGAGTGCTGATCCTTGATGTATTTCACGATGGGATCCCAGCTAGTAGTCTCATTAGCTCGGTTACAGATGTTGCAGGTTAATATCTATTACCATCTGTCGTTGTTGACCTGGTCACCGTATCCAGGAGTGTCAACGATGTTGAGACGCAGACGCACGCCGTTCTCCTCAATGACTAAAAACGAGGCGGTTAGCTCTGCCAGGAGTGAAATGGCAATGGCGTAGGAATCATACTATGCGAAACGGTCTGGATTTCGGTGGTCGAGCGGACAGGTTCGTTGGGGGTCATGCGACCCTTGGAGTCGATAAGGTGCGAAGCAAAGATGGTGTTGATCAAAGTGGACTTGCCCAGACCCGTCTGGCCTATTTCGTCCATGTTAGCAGGGAGGGAAGGGGCTCTCTTTTCTCGGATATGGTAGGTGAAAGAGTCGACTCACCAACGCACATGACATTGAATTGGAATCCACGTTTCAACAGCTTGCGCTCGATCTGGGAGGTGATGCTGTCGAAACCGACGTGGCTGCGAGGGAAGACCGTCGCGGGATTGGTGGAAGACGAATTGGCTGCGGCTGCCATTTTGAAGAAGGACGCTTGAAGATGATAACGAGAGAGGGATTGAGAGCAAACGAAGGATGGTATATCTATCAGTCGACGGGGCGTCCCAAGGGGTGGGGAGATGGTTGGTTAGAGAGGGAAAGGTGAAAACGAAGACGAGATAATCAAATGGGGAGATTGGAGAGGAATTGACAGCGAAAGAAGAAAAAAAAGAGGGGGGCAGCCCACCAAGTAGTAGTAAGGAAGTAGTAGATCGAGGAGAACAAGAGCAACGGCGATGCCCAAGCGTTTTCGAGCGAGGGAGGGAGTGGAAGCAGAACAACCGGGGGCCCCTTAAAGCTGCGTTGCTCTGGCCATCCAACCCAAAAGCGGTGGTTGCGACTCAGGGGGCCCGCTATTCCCCCAACGGATTAGCGTGTCTCCAGACCCCAAATCGGTGGAAAAGCTTCAGAATTATTCGATTTTATGCCGCCGCCTTGCCAGCCATTTCGCCCAATTCTCTCCTCCCCAATCTGAGCTCCAATTCCTGTCTCAGCTCTTATCGGCACCTCCCGAATTCTGGCTCTACGACTCCTTCCCTCCACCATGTCCGCCCCCATGCTCTCGCGACGCCTCCTGCTCACGGAAACCGTGTCTTCCGCCGCCGCCGTAGGACGGTGGTCTCGTTTCGCTATCAATGCCTCCGCCTGGTCTCACAACTGGCTCAAGCCCGCCGCCATTTCCTTGAGCATTCCTGGGATCATGGAGGGCCTTTGGGACTCTGTTCTCCGCGCCGTCCCCAAGAAGAAGACTTCTCACATGAAGAAGCGTCATCGACAAATGGCTGGCAAGGCTTTGAAGGACGTCAAGAGTCTCAGCACATGCTCCGGATGTGGCCAGGTGAAGCGCTCGCACGTCCTGTGCCCCCACTGCGTCGAAAGTAGGTGCAAATTCTCTGCGATTCCGTTCCCATTAAGCCATCCTCAGCGACTGATTGTGAATTGTCCTTTAGGTATCAAGAAGCAATGGAAGCAAACTCAGACGGCTTAAAGAGCGAAAGACGGCGAGATATATGATGAAAGAAAACGGACAGATTTTTGATTTGCATTGGGGGATTGTATTTTTACCTGGTATTTTATGAAGTGTAGGATAAATGCTGCATGGCATTCGGCGTCTGGCACAGCCTGAGGGTTATCTATATTAGTGTTGGTTATTTATATTTTAAATTATACTGTGGCCATTTTGTATATTTGTATATCTTGCCAGAGATCAATTAAAAAAGAATTAAGATCTTCGCATGTCATGTTTCAATTGCATTGACTTGGTAAATTTAGTAGGGTCGGGCAGAGGATGTCAGTCTTCCATTGAAGGCCCGCTGTAGTGGTGGGTGCCATTGGAAACATGATCTCATTCGGCCGCCAGCTAGTTTGTCCCGCCATGATCATCAACTCGCGTCCCAAACAACATTCGTACTCCTCTCACAACCATACAGCGTGCTCAAATTCGCCTGGGGCCTACTCTGCCTAGGCATATAGAGCGACTGGTCTAAGAATGGTAATGTTTTAACATGGGGAACCATAACGCTGTTGAGGTAGTTTCTAACTGGGGAAACGATTGAGTTTAGTCGAAACAATATCTCTCTTGCGGTTCAGCAGACAATGGTTCGTATATCTTAAATGACTCCCTACAAACCCTGGCATATACTAATATCACGACCAGCCCACCCTGTTGATATCTTCGCACTGGCCGTGACTGACAAGCAGATCTTGTCGGCCTCGGGTACTTCTTCCCTCAAAGTTCACTCCACTACAGATCCCGATTTTCCGCTAGTACAGTCTATTGACGGTGCCCATAAAGTCGGGTGCCATCATGTGGTTACTAACGGAAATGGTTCGAGGGCCGTCAGTATTGGCTTTGGCGGTGAGATTATGATTTGGTCTTGCCATGACGGAGTCTGGGCAAAGGATGAGGGAGCGTCTGGTAGGTACCTTAGTACTCCACTGTGTCAGTCCTGTGTCTGACCGTGACCCAGTCAACAAGGCAACACCTGCGGATGTTTGGGCCATCGCTTTGTCCGAAGATGGTCAATATCTTGCCGGTGTTACGCAAGATGGTCATATCAAGGTGTGGGATCTGGACACTAATGGCGAGGAAATCCGAGACTATGAAACCAAAGGTAGCTTCGGCACCTGCATAGATTTGGTAGGTGAAGACTCGTCCACTTCTGCCACTGTTGGTGCCTAAACTCATGAATAAACTTTTTAGTCCGCGGATGGCCGCTTCATAGCAAGCGGACACGAAAATGGTAGTGTTTACATTTTCAGTACAGAAAGCGGACGCATGCCATTCAGCCTATCAGGTGCGTACTTTGTTGTGCTAGCTAAGTACAAATGAAGCAGACAAAAGTGCCGAGTGATTGTCTAATATGTATATACAGGCTTGGTTAAACCTGTACGAGCTGTTGCATTCTCCCCTGGAGGAAAGTTTCTTGCTGCTGCTGGAGATTCCAAGGTAATTGTGCTTTATGACACGTCCTCTGGTGAACAAGTGGCGAGTCTCTCGGGGCACACCGCATGGGTCATGTCGCTGTCGTGGAGCCCCACGGGGGAGTATCTTCTCAGCGGGTAAGTTGCTATGCATTTTTTCCCCCTGAGCATGCTATCTAACGTTCAAAAGGTCGTTCGATGGAAAGGTCAAAGTTTGGTCGATAGACACAAGAGCATGTGTGGCCACCCATTCCGAAACAGACAAAGCAATCTGGAGTGTCAAGTGGCTGGCGAAGATCGGAAGATCAGTAGGATTTGCCACGGCTGGTGCAAACAGGAGCATATCATTCTACCGTGAGGCCACTGGTGGTTAGTGCATAGGCTGTGTACGAATCAACCAATGAATTTGTTGTACGAATTCCTTACCAGCGAGCTACTTGAGGCATCTTCCTCAGTATGCCGAGACGAAGGAAGCCTCTATAAGTGACCTTTTGCATTGCCTGAACGGAAACCTTATCATAGTAGGACCTGATTCCAAAGTGAAGCAAACACAGGTATTAAAACATTAATCATTATGTGGTATTTCCAAAGCGGAAGTAGCCTTTATCTCCTCCCTATTTCATTGTATCGACGAACAGCTTCCGCATTCTTTTCAAGAACGCACCAAAGTCGCGATCCTCATTGACGATATCGAGCTCCCGCTCGAGAGCCTCCCGATCGAGTTTTGGTCGTGTATGGAATACTGCGTAATCGCGGCTCCCTGTGCCGAGTTCAAACCACGCTTCCGTTTCCCAGTCCTTTTCGAGCAGATGGGTGTACACAAACTTTAGTCTATCCTCCCGTCCGGCTCCCTCAATGCGTAAACATAGATAGTCCTGCCAAAAGTCCAACTCCGGCACGTTCAGCCGAGCTTGAGCATCCAGATACCTGGCGTGCATCTTCTGCGCCTCCAGCTTCTGGTTGATCGCCTTTTGGGTCTCGTCGATTTGTTGCTTGAGGCGGTCGCGCTTGGCGAGGCGGGAGTCACGTTCCAGGGTCACGGATGAAATGGCGGCGTGCATTTCCGCTGCTTCAGCGGCTTCCTTCTGTAGTGTTTGTTGGTGCGTTTGCGATTTGAGGTCCAGGATCTCGATATCCCTTTGCTTCATGCGTTCATCCTCTATAGGACCTGTATTAGTCCGATGCTCTAGCGCCATCTCCATAAAGCGATAGCTTACCCTGTAGCTCTGCCAATCCAATCTTGAACTGGTTCCTCTCCTCCAATACCTGCTTGCGACCTCTCTCGATGAATGCATCAAAGCGAGCAGTAAACTGTGCCATGCGATTCCGGAGATCCTCAAACCCGAAGTTGATACTGGGGAGTGAATCCGCCATGGACGGTGCATCGGCCGACGCGAGAGGCGGGCGCATGCCACTTGTCGAGAGCGACGGATCGAAAGATGAGCTCATGGTGTATCTAGCTTGACGATTTATTGGTGCTGATGTAGTTGTAGTCTGTGAGGATTGCGATATATGCGATGCGGGGGTGATGATGGTTACTGACTTTGTTTCATGTTCTCGAGCGCGCCGCTAAAGCGCGGTGTTGCGGCGCAACCGCCGGGCTCCAGACTAACGAAAGCTTGGCATCGATCTATCACCCGTTTTTTTTCTTTTGCCTGGTCTTTCCTTCGCGAGATAATCCAATGTTTCATTTACCCTTGCGCATGCATGAATTATGATTTGACAGCTGTCAGAAGCAGTTGCATTTGAGCACACTGCCGGGAGACTCGTCTACTAGTCCGCAAGCTGTGACCAAGACGTTGTACTTTGGTTCTCGATATGCCCACGGTTAGAAGGCTAGAGTTAGCGCATATCGCCAGGAGCAGAAACAGACCTGATGGATGAACACTCTGTGGGTGCTCTGCAATATGGGCATTTGGGGAAACCAACGTACAATTCAGAAGCTCACACATGGGTCTTTTCACGAACATTAGCTCCATGTAAGTGGTTTGGAAGATCGACGCGAGCCGGTTCGAAAGACTGACACCTCCTGGAGCTTCATGTATCTCTTACTCCGGAGTGACCAAAGTTACGGTTCAATCGTCCCTCACTGCGCTGCAGTCTTCCTCAACCGAGAATAAGGGCTTTTTGCCTCGCGCCTACCCCCAGCTTGCAGCTTGCTGGCCTCTAGTCGACAACGAAACCGTCTCTCATGCTATCACTGGCTGCGACACATGTGATCCTTCAATCTCGACGCTCTTTGATTTAGGATATGCGGTCGATCTCGAGAATAGCGATTCGGGAAGCCGAGTTATACCTATCGCCGTCATAGCATCCGGAGAGTGCGGCAACACTATCAGTTTTCGAAAAATCGAAGACGATGTTGTGGAACTCCGACGGAAGACGACTTCCTGGGCGCGTGTCCCTGCAATTGGACAGACGGAGTCCGTTGAATGGTCGGCGGGAGGGGCTCCTGTCCGTCAAATTTGCTTTGCGCGGACGGTTGAAGATAATGCGACGTGGATGGCAGCTCGTTTGCCCCGCTCGACTACCATCTTTCGACCACAGTATCACCGAACGCCAGTGCCTGTCATAGGATTGCATGGGAGTGACCACCAATTTCCCGACCGTTCTATCAAGTCTCGCCTGGATGCGAACCCATTGGTGGAGATACCAATCCAGCGGACCGGAGGCTTTGCGCATGCGGACGTGACTTTCAATCCCTGGTATCAGAAGCAGTTGGCTATTGTTGATGAACGAGGTCATTGGAGTGTTTGGGAACTTTCCGGCCGACACAGGCGCAACAAGGGTAATTGGACAGCTGTATCTGTCAATTCTGGCTCATTGCCGTGGCTCGATCTTGGAGACGGCCAAGACATCGACGACCACCCTCGTCATGATGGATGGGCTGCTATTGAATGGGTCGGTGATGTTAACAGCTTTGTTGTCTCTGATAGACGCTGCCCAATGCTCTATCGCATGGAAAGCGGCGAGGTTTTTCCATATACAATTGAGCTAGGCCTTAAGCGAAGATCAGAGTGGATTCTGGACATTAAGAGAAGTTCTGCCAACGTGTCGCATGTTTTCATCTTGACGACGACTCGAATATTCTGGCTGGATTTAACATCATGCCCTGAACCGAGCAGTGCAACCGACAAAGACTCACGACCGCCTCTGTTACCCCGTTTGTCCTGGCGCCATTTCCGTGATCCCGAGGACACCACATTGCGACTGACTCCTCTACTTGTGCGGGAAGGTAGCTTGATGACCGCAGATCTCTCCCTTTCATAGCACATGTACTGATACTCTCGATAGACTTTTACCTCGTTTTATACTCGCGCCTCAACAATATTGCGCTAACCTTGCAATGCCCATCTTCGTCCCTGGACCAAACGGATGTGACATCGATACCAGACCCCTATATAATGGAGATCCCATTGTCATCTCCTGACACTGAAGGCTCTCGACACTCCAACACGCAGCTGACAACACTGGTCTTCAAGGAAATCACGCATTTGCCATCGTCAGTCGGTAAACAATATCACGACCCTCATGTTAGACTCATAAAGCTTTTTGCGGTAGACTCAGGCCTTACTGTCCGCGAATCAATCTACACGGCACCCTCCCGCGATGGTTCCCAGGATGATGAACCAGCCGCAAGAGATGTCTTACGAGTGAAGAAAAGGCATCAAGGAGTGCAAAGGTCGCAGTCGACTTACTTTGAAGATCGATTTGTAGTAGAGGATTGCGAGGAATCCATGCTGGGAAGCGGTATGCTCACAACCGCAGACACTGGGATGTCTAGCATAACGCCACTTGCAATCCCTGAATGGTCTCTCGACTACACCCAAGTCTACGCTGCTGCTACTGGAAGGTTAACGCTGTCATCGCGAGAAGACGACCTAGGTAATCAAATCTTCGAAAGGAGTTTTGAGGAGGCTATGCAAGTGCTAAGCGAAATGACGACTGGTGCTGGGGTGAGCAACGACCAGACATGTCGCACAGGGTAAGTAAATCTACTGCTATATACCGACTATCTTTTACTGATGTTCCTAGTCTCGAGGCCCTTGGCAGTAGTCCAATGCTTGACAGTGTCGAACAGAACTCGCGGAGGCTCCAGGAATTTCTCTCCAGCAACCATCTAGCTCTCTTAGATTGGAAAGCTGACCGCCAACCGTCTGGCCATTCTAGTCCACTTCTCGTTCGATCGGCGGATTTCATATACGAGGTTTCGGGGTTGGACCTTCCTGCAATCTATGATCTGCTTACCAATGACTGGCTGGCTGGCCTGCCTCACGATCTTCCTGGGCGCACAAGATTCACGAAAGAGAAGATCATCCGTGGAGTTGTCGCTGATCTGATTTTGGCTCAGATACGCATTAGAGCTCGGACGCTCTCCGGGATTGATGAATCTGATGACAGCAGGCGGATAAACTCAGGGGATATTCCATCATCATCATCAATGATTTCGATGGATGACCCCTTCGATGCTTCGAGCTCTAGAAGTGCGAGGCGGGTGTCTCAGCGACCGGCCTGGACAGGAAACGGTAACTTGGATGATCCAGGCAGCGGCACGACGCCTGGAAGCACTCTTGGACGCGGGGAACTTGAGACTGAAAGCCTGCGGGACATGGAACCTACATATACCAGCCTCTCAGCATATACTACCTTTAGTCGCGAGCGGAATATGCCTCGAAAAGTGGCGAGCATGTTGGGCCATTGGCAACCAGGTGCCGACCCGGCTGGGTACAACTGGCAGAGGGCAATGCAGCTTCAGGGAACCGAGGAGTCGCAATCAGCATCTAAGGCAGCGACACCGAAACGTCGTCAACGCAAGAAGACTCCATCAACCCAAGGAACCACCACTGTGAATAGTGGGAATGTATCCGCACCCGCACCCGCACCAGCCCCAGCCCCGATGACTTCTGTTACTCCTGATGTGCGGGGGTGGGGAAGTCAACCAGAGCACAATGAGGCGCCTGTTCTCAGACTGCAAAGCAGTCAGGTTATCGAGGACGATGTTCCGATGACACAGATCGAGCGGGGCGCATTTGGTGGCCGAGAAGCTGGGCGAAAGAATGTAATGAAGGCACGCAAAAAGAAGCGCGCGGCCGGTTTCTAAAGCAGCCCAGATAGGTTATTTATTCATCCAAATGGAATATTAGCATTCAAACAACCCCGAATACATTAGTAGATGTACCGTTGTAGCGGCTTGATTGGTAAGACAATGAGCGATTTCTGCGCATTCTTTGCCCCGCCTCGGGATTGCGATATCCAACCCTGGGAAGTATAAGAACCACGCGACGAGGTTCATTTTTATTCCTCAAAGCACTCTTTCACATTCTCTTTCCATCTCGTTGTCTATAGACCTACTACTCCCAGGAACTACTTAATAATCGTCGCTGTTTGCTGTGGCAGTTTACACGCCAGCATATTTTGTTGCCTCAACTCGAAACGCCCATCGATCGACGTTCCCCCGTCTGTCTCCACCCCTCCTCTCCTTGCTTTAGCCCCGCCATCGTCATCTCTATCTTCTCTATTTACTTATTTGTTCATCCACACACCACACACCACTTATTTGCTCTCTCTCTCTCTCTCTCACGTACACACGCCGCCCGCCAACACCATGTCCGACCACCAATACAAGTTCAACGTCAGCATGAGCTGCGGCGGTTGCTCCGGTGCCGTGGAACGAGTCCTGAAGAAGCTCGAGGGTATGTTTTTCTTCCCTACCCCCCTTCTTTCTAGAAATTCGTCAAACATAATAACAAGCAAGTGCACAGAACCGCTTCGCTGACTTTCTCTCCTCCTCCGCAGGTGTCAAGTCTTTCGACGTCAACCTGGAATCCCAGACCGCAAACGTTGTCACCGAACCTTCTGTGCCCTACGATACCGTGCTGGCTACGATCAAGAAGACTGGAAAGACGGTCAACAGTGGAGAGGCTGATGGCCAGACTATGAGTGTCTAAAAGAAAGAAAAGAAAAAGGAAAACGAACAAAGAAAGAGCAAAATCAGAAGAATCATATGGATCCCGGGGTTGGCCTTGGGGAGGTGACGAAGCTTTCGTCCGAAGGGGGCAGTGTTATGCATGCATATATTGAAATAATAGGAAGAGGGGCTACTGCTTTGGGTAGTGTTGCGAGATACCCTGATACCCCTGACCTGCTGCTGCTGTCTGCATGGTTGTATATAGCGCAATTATTTGACTACGTTCGCATCGTTTTGTGATTGACCTTCATGGGTGATTTGTTTGTCTGTCCGCTGCCTGCACAATGTGTCTGCTAACGTTGTGGCTGGTGATGACGACGACTTCTGCGGGTATACGCGTAAGAGACACGAGTGCATGTAGTAGTGCTCTAAACTCAGAGTAGCTGCGTGATAAAGCGAGGTAAGCACATCGCTTGTCAGATTTGTTGTTGTTGACACGTGGTCGGGTATCATATCCGCTTGACGCTCAAGCTCAAGATTTATGTACAGCAACGCATATGCGGACATCTACATAGAACACCATCGACAAACACAACCCGAAGCCTTCTAATCCACAATGACAACAGTTCGACCCTCAGGAACCGTATAGGGAACCCGCCCAACGCGTCTTACATAGGTAGGATAACGTTGTTCTTCCATGCGCGAGCCATCGTGTGGAAGGTCATAGGCTTGCCTGTTCGTTTCGCGTCCGTTAGTAACAAGTTCAAAAACTAAGAAGGGGACAGCACGCGCAGCCCGAGCTGCAAGGTCCATACCGTGAAGTGTCCACAGCATCTTCATACCCTCTGACGTAGTGGCGGGCTGTAAAAGGCGGATTAGGTACCCTGTCAGCATAATTGCTTGGACCATGATGATCGGCCACAACATAATCCTGGATAGCGGGTCCTGCCCGGGAATCCAGACAAACACGGCCAACGGGCCTGCTCCATTCTGTGCTACCGGGCGAACTACGCATGTATTGTTCGGTCTGCACCGGAATTCCAGCCGAGAGAGGATGGGGGTGGACTGGGTAAGTTGCAGGTTGAAGACGACGCTGCACTGGATACTTTGTTGGAACAGGATCCCGTACGTCAACGGCACGAACGAAGTCCTCCGCATAGTGTCTTCCTTGAGACGCTTCCTGTGAAACCAAAGGGGGGTCATATTCTCTGCCGCGACGAGCAGGATCCTCCAGCTGAGCCACGTCAAGTGGTCTTAAACTGCCAGAGTTATATCTAGGAACCTCATGATAGACACGTCGCTCTCTCAACTCATTGGGCCGCACAGGAACAAGCCTATCAGTAGCATTATCCTCAGGAATAGCATATCTTGTACTTGGCACAACTTGAGATTGCCCTGGAGACCTGTATTGGATGGGCAGCCCGGAAGGCACAAAATGAGATGCATGGCCATGTACGTCTTCCGATGGCCTCTGATGCACGGCAGTCACGGTCCTGGGGCCAGGTGCGGTAGTATAAGTGGAGTATTGCGTTCTTTCCGGGTGACCCTCCGCAACAGGATGTGATCCAACGGGGGCGGCATATCTCCTACGGAAATGAATATCGTCCTGGATTGAAGAGGGTTTCAGGTGAGTATGTCCAGGGGTATCCTGATACCTGCCGCTTGTGTAAGGGAACGCTGCACCAGTGGTGACAACCCTGGCTTGAGTATGACAGAGCCGTTCACGCTCGTAGTGGCCCATACGTCTCCGTTTAGAAGCTTGATCTCGATCAGAAATATCTGAATCGTGGTGTATCATCTCCTGGCGAGCGGGACGGTGAGGGGTTATTGAGCGAATCGAGAAATCTCCGGAAATCCTTTTGGCAAGGTAATCCAGCTGGCCACTATTGGGGCGTCGGATTTCCATGGGTGTGGCAGTCTCAATAGAAGGCAATGCATGATCCTGTGGCTGTACATTTGTCCTGTGTTGGGACGAGGCCAGAGGTCTTGGGAGGACGGCTGGGTCCCCGGTCATCTCATGAATCTCTCTCGGGCCACTCACAAATACAGGCGCATTTGGCGAGTCTTCTCGCTGATATGAACGCTTCTGTTGCTGAATGACTGGCACTCGCTCCAAAGAAACCGCACTTGATACAGGTGCAATCTCCTTTCTCTGAGCAGGCAGTTCAGGCATACGGTGCAGTTCATACTGGTCGTTCAAAGTTAGCTCGAAGCAGTTCTCTCAGTGTAGATCATAGAGCACGGTTATGATAAACACAAATCTAGACCTTGGGTGGCTTACCTGTTCCATTACAGAGTCCGCGACCGTCCTACCTATGTTGGTACTGATGGGCCTTGCACTAGACGTAGCAACGGGTGCCATCGAAACATGAGGCCTATGAGCAGACTCTGATTCAAGCCCAACAGGTCCTGGCAATGGCTGTCGAGTGACGACCGGGCCCCGAGATTCGGAGGCATCATGCAGTCTGTGCTGGTTAGTTTCGTTTGCTATGTTTCTATATCGGTTGAGAGCGCGGTCCCAAGCCTGATATCTGCTGAAGCCTCGACGATCAATCTTATGTCTTCTGGGGGGCTCTGGAATGTAGCGGAAGCCTGGTGGTGCTTCTTCATCCGACGGATCTAACTGGGTATCACGAAGGGCAGGGTTTGCATAATTTAGCGTCCTTGTTTGAAGCTCGTCAGCCTGGGGATTACTGGAAACCACCATCACGCTGTTATCGCGATTATTAGGTGAGAACGGCTCTCCCTCGACATCACTGTCCTCATCATCCGATATGACAATGACCTCTCGGAAGACGTCCTCCAGGACTGTCTTCCCATTCTCATCGTCTCCTCTCCACTCCACTAATTTTGCAAGGGTGGGCTCTTCGACCACGGTCCGAGCTTCATGAAAGGATGTCGCCTTCAGGAGACGATCGTAGTCAGTGTAAATGTGTCGGATATGTGCCACAACCGCTAACTGAGCCCGACGAGCCAGTGGTAGCTCAACTGCCGTTCCTACTTTTCGCTGGCCCTTAAACCGGTCTCAGCATCTGTCACGCATTCGTATATCATGGTTCCCTCCCATCTATTTCTCCTTGGGCTCGTCACGTACCTTTTGAAAAGCGGTCTTGATGATTTGATTGAGATCATTATCGGGAATGTTGGGGAACAGGTCTCTCAAGACATCTCTCGCTTCTGTATTTATAGTTGTCTGGGAGACTTCTGAATTAGCTCTTTTGCGGTCGTTCTCACCGCCAACCGTGCGAAAGGGCACCGCTTTCCCAGCGGCCGTGAGATAGAGACCCAGATCCATGCACACTGCTGCGACCGCGGCGCTTGGAAAGTGATAACCTATTCGATGTACATGCTGGGAGAGATTGTGGGTGTGCATATGCGGCGTTGTCTAACCATAGCTATTAGATAAACGAGAACCAAGGACCGGATATGGATACAGCTGTCGGCATACCGTGACAGCGAATACCTTCAGACCATCCTTCCGACATAATTCCTTACATGCCGTTGTAAGCTGAGGGTTGCCTGCAGGTATGAATGTATAACCAGGAGGGGCCTTTGCTTCAAAAGATATCTGTTTTCTTGGTCAAGAGTGCCCGTGAGAAACTGATAACACAACAACATACGACACTTCGAAGTTTTTTCTTCTCCTGAGTAACAGATTCCAGAATCACTCTATGTTTTCGAGCATTTCTCTTGACGATCCTGCTCGGGGCTCGCCTGGCAAGGACCGAGGGAGGTCTCCGAGATACTCGGGCCATGCTGACAATGTAGAACCTTCCCAAGTAGCTACAGAAGACAAGCCTTCATTTTACCGGTACCGGTTCGGATACACACACTGCATGGAATGAAGCCGTGAGGGCCAGGATCATTCATCGAGTGCGAATGGTTAGACAGACGCGTCGATAGACAGCTAGTAGTCACACGGGTGTTTTCAAGTTAGTAAGCCATATTCTACACAATGAAAAAAGATCCTATGCATGAACCGCAGTCCCAGAAAGTCAAGAATATGGACTAAACTGGAACAAGCCGATAGCTGTTCAAGTCGGTCTAGCCACCGTTTTGGCCAACAAGATGGTGCACTAGCCCTGATACCGTGAAATAAAGGGGGGTGCTTGATGAGACCGAAAAGGTAGTTAGCCGGTTCAACGCTGACCTCCCAACTATAGGAGCATATAGCGAGGCAGAGCAGCAAAGATAGCGGCAGCCGGGGGTAGTATACAAAAGAACCCCCAACAGGCTGGGTTGGGCTGGTGGATGAGGTTTAAAGGGAAAGGTGGGAGAGGGAACGAGAGCGCCGGAGGGCAACCAAACTTAAACCATTTGCGGCCTAACGCGCGGGCGCCGCTGGTACCTGCCTGATCGGGGCTAGCGTGACCTACCTCATTCACTCCAATTTGCGACCACCAAGCTACATATTCAATCTTCCTGTCATTATATCTATCACCTTCCACTCTGATTGCCATTAACTGGATCAGAGAAGCAGTTGAGAGATTCACAGTAATGTTGGCGCATTCTGACATCTTGCTGAGTGGTGAAACAAAAGAATAAGGGTGGTGGTGACGAGGGGAAATTCTAGTATCAGTTGCCTGTGACCCAGAGGTCTCCTTCTCCCTTTCGCGGCAGGATGATTACACCTACCCAGACTCTAAAGTCTGTTGTGGATCAGAAAGCTGTTGTCCATGCCTATCGCCACTTGTATCGCCAGGGCTTGAAGGCCATCAATTATTCTACCCCAGCACGGCATGTTCTTCGGCATAGTCTGCGATCCGCCTTTCGTTCATCTTCACCGGAAGAGCTGAACCCGCGGCGCATAGCCAATACTTTACAGTTTCTCCAACGAGCTGCCGACGTTGCAGGCCTTGAACATAAGATTGTGAAAAATCTGATGATGATGAAGTACTGGGAGCAGCCCCAAGTGAGAAAAGACCACCGCACGTAGGTTATCATTGAACCCCCCTGAAAAAGAATTTAGGCCGTGCGGGACTAATTTCAACCTAAGCTTGAGAGGGCTAGGGGTCGATCAAAGGGATCCTATGTTGATGCAGGATACAATGCGGCAATTTAACCTAACTTTGTCACTCCTCAATGACAGCCTAGATATTTGCTTGAGGTAATCCATAGAGATCATTGATTCCCTATCGTCTAAATCGAGTGTATGGGGTCACTGCTTTCGTCGGACATTGAATAATTACCGTCCCCCCAAAGCAGTAGGACAACGCGATATATTCCACTTCAACTCTCACGAGGCAGGACATGACGCTATCTGAGTGTCGACTAAGGTCTACATTCATTTTCCTGGAGTTTCTTACATCTTGAAGCTCCGACAACCTTTCAAAACCGGACTTATTTCCCAGGTGAAACTGCAGCTGGAGCTGGGTTGGATGAGAGACGAGGGGATTGTTTCGGCCGGCATGGTCGCCACTGGCGTGTGATCGGGATATACGGGAGCGTTGAAGGTGGAAGTAGATCTGGGCCGCGGCTAGCGAATCAGCATCCGCGCCGGCCCAGTGTCACATGTTCGAAGTGCCTGTTCCGGAGCCCTCGTCTGACCCTCAGGCTCGTTCCAGCGAACTCCTAGTCTTGTAATCCTGCGTACTTGGAAAATAAAAAGGCTGTTCTCAATCTATCTTCTCTCCTTTGACTTTCAGCTACGTTAACACCTCATATCAATGCTGCCATAGGCCCTTCATGAGTGGGCTTATTACTTCCCTCTTCATTGAACCCGTCGTTCGGCAAGCCCGCCGCCTCTCCCAGCAGGCCAATGCCCAGCCATCCCCCGACAACCGACCTGAATCTCCCGCAAGCACACGAGACTATGTTCCCCTGGTCAATGGCAATTACAAGGCCGCCGACCCTACTAAGATCATAATGCCGGACTCTGGACAAGAAAAACATGCTGATCCCCCATCGAACGGCGGATATGCGGGGTCCGACCATGGTCGTGCGATCTCGCCGACGTCGCCGCCGATCGACCCGACTAACCAACATCATGGAACAGAACATAGCACTATCCTGGACTCGTCCAGAAGTCCAGTAGGGGACTCATTGCCGTGTTTGCCAGGTTCTCCTGGTATGCATAGAAGACCCTCGACGCCGTCGGTACAGTTTGCCCCTGTCGCTTTTCCCGCGCATGAAGCCCCTCAGAGCACGAGACAAGACCCCCAAAGCCCACGACAACACTCGAACGACCAACTATCAGGTGAAGGTGAAGATAGCGGGACATCTTATACCTTACCAGAGGACGATGGAATGGGTGCCTTGAGAAAGAGAATCCACGCTATCAGGGACCTGGGATCTAGCAATGCAGACCAGGCACGCATGATCCACGCCTTAATGACGGAGAACTACCACGCTTCCCAGAAGAGTCTTGATGATCAGCCTGCTCCAAGGAGTCTATCACCTTTTAGCCCTCGCAGCATCCCACGGGCGGATAGCCCTGGTAGCTGGTCCGACCGATCTTCCAGTCAAACATCGCAGTCTCCAGTCTCGACAGCTCCCGATACTCCTTCATACAATTTGACGCCTGAGGATTTAATACCAACGTATGCGCCCCGGATGGAGCCCGAGTCGCCTCTCGGTGAAGTGGAAGATATAGATGCAGAAGAATGTGAGGAAGTTTTTCTGGGCTGTGAACACTATAAGAGAAACGTCAAGTTGCAGTGCCATGCGTGTAAGAAATGGTACACCTGTCGCTTCTGCCACGACGCAGTCGAGGATCACCATCTTGACCGGCCAAGAACAGAGCATATGCTGTGCATGTTGTGTGGGCACGCTCAACCTGCGGCACATTCATGCGGACATTGTGGTGAACCGGCGGCGCAGTACTATTGTCACGTCTGTAAACTCTGGGACAATGACGCAGACAAGAGCATATATCATTGCAATGACTGTGGCATATGCCGTATTGGGCAGGGCCTGGGGAAGGATTTCTTCCACTGCAAGGTAAGGGACCAATCCACCTGAGTTGACCGGCGTGGGATGCTGATGTGAGGTCTAGACGTGCAGTGTCTGTCTTCCGATCTCTATCGAGAACACGCATCGATGCATAGAGCGCTCTACGCAATGTGACTGTCCTATTTGCGGTGACTATATGTTCACGTCGCCAGAAACTGTGGTTTTCATGCGGTGTGGGCATAGCATCCACCAGCGATGTCTATCTGAATATGCGAAAACTTCGTACCGCTGTCCGATATGCAGCAAAACCATAACAAATATGGAATCCACGTTTCGGAACCTGGATCGAACCATCCAAAGCCAGCCTATGCCAGCCGAATTTAGAGACACAAGAGCTCTTATCTATTGCAATGATTGTGGTGCCAAGTCTATTGTCAAGTATCACTGGCTGGGTCTTCGATGTGATATGTGGGTTCTTTAATGATCTCCCTTCCACACGGTATGCTAACCAAGGGCTTAGGTGTGAATCATATAATACTGCTCAGAAGCAGCTTCTCCACCGCGATGCTCAGGATCCCGCAGAAATTGATGGCGAGAACACGGACATGGCAACCTCACGAATTAGATCTTCCTCCTATGGCGCGGATGAGACCGTATTGTCAACGCTAGCCTCGTTGCGAATTGACACGAGCAGTGTTCCGAGGCCGGATTCAGCAACCCCCCGGACCAACGCACCTTTGTCCGCCGAAGCAGCTGGCCAGTTCTCGTCCTATAGTCTGGCTCGTGGTCGTGCAGTCTCGCCGGTGATCAGTAATTATTTTGGTATCCCGCCAGATCGTGAATCGGAGAGGTCGCGATCCACATCTTTCTTTAGCGGCTTAACTTTCCGGAACAGTGCGGACGATGACGGTGGCGAGCTTCGCTTATGGGGTACCAAAATCAAGTACAGCTATGGTTTTCTCGGACAAGAAACCGAATCTGTTGATGGGGCCTCTGATGCAGAAATTGGAGAGTTGGACGAGGATGACGATAGTGGATCCGAAGAAGCAGAGAATACTCGTGAAGAAAATGAAGAAGATGAAGAAGACGATCAGGAGAGCATCGACATATTTGGACATCGATGAAGTCACCTTATTATATACTATATACATACACACGGCTGTTCCTCGAAAGGCTACTGGGGAAGCGGATAACGACCACCATAATGGAGCTGTCATGGCAGAAGTTGGCCGGTCCAACTGAAAGCTGCCTTCTACGATACATTGATACTTCTTCTTTTTTTTTTTTTTTTCTTTGGCTTGAGTTATGGTGGTATGGGCGTTTGGTGTTGAACTTGTGAGATCAACGAGTCTATTGGTACTATCAGTCATTGTTGCACCCGCACGCTTGTCACACGGCGCATCGGATGGAGGTAGCAGGGGGGGGGTTAAGGGAGACTGGGGAGGTTAGAGGGTGTTTTTGCTTTGTGTAATATTAGACCCGGAAGGTTAATGGGTAGACAGAGTGGGGAATAGCATGGCCTTCTCCCTCGTCTCTTTCTTTTTTTTCTTATTACTTCATCTTCTATATTACAAAGGTCTCTATTGAGTGGTGATGTACTCGTGATGTATGCCCCAGGCGAGCAAGGGATGCTTAGGTAAGCGAGAAATGGGGGGAAGATTTGACTGAATCGGGCGAAGATGACGATGACGACAAAAGTAAAGATGGGATGCAGATGCAGAATGATTGAATGGATGCAGGATCCCAACCATGGTTGGCCACTCTGAAACGCCCTTCTTCTGAAGATCGATCTACCTACTTCTAGGCAGCTCTGCTTCTTACTTCCTCTCGTTAGAAATCTTCTTCTGCTGCTCCCTCTACCGCTCCACACATTTCCATTCCGTCCTTTCTTTGTCCTTCCTTCTGACTCTCTGCCTGCTGCTGCTGCTCACTAATCTCTCCTCTGAAACGAAAGCACGGATCTCTCCGGGGCATGTTCCAACCTTCAGCTTGATTACGAACGCTTCCCCGACTCTTCGGTGCTGCTGCGCACCCGTCCCGGCGACACTCTTCTTGTCCTGCCCAACACTTATCCAGACTCTCCTTTTCCGTCTGTCTGTTACGGATTCAACCCGCCCTTGACCGTCGCACTATATAATCCAGTCGCTATACAGTACACCCATCCGATACCCTCCCTCCCCAACCCCTCCGATAAGGCCCCTCCCTATCGGTCTCTCTGGCGCGGATGCAGCAGCAGTACAACTACAAACCCTCGTCCTAATAGAACATGATCCGTCGCAATTCAGACATTGAGGTCCAGCTTCCCGATGCCGGTAGTCCCGTCGTCTCCGAACCTTCAAACAACCCGGATGTAGAGATGTCATCGGATGAACCTACTCTTCCTCTGAGCCTCCCTGCCCACCTCGCCGCTCGCTTTGCCCGGAAACCCAGTGTGATCCGTCGCTCATCAGCAGCCTCATCCCGTCGAAGCTCGATATCGTCCCTTCATTCGCAACACTCGCATGCGTCGGCTCATGGCGCATCTTCTACCGATCACGCAGCGCAGCATCTCCGGCGGACCTCTATCCTCGAAAGCCGCAAGGCACAGCTTGCCGACCGCGCGTTACACGCAGAAAAGGTGAGGCTACGTGCTGCCCTTGCGAAAGCTGCTACACGCAACTTGCAAAGAGAGGAACGGGCTTTAGCTGCCCAGCAAGCTCGGGAACGGCTTTTGGCTGAAATCACTGCCAAGTGCGAGGAGGAAGTCCGCCGGGCGAAAAAGAAAGCTGAAGACAACCGGGAAAGGAAGGCCGCTGAGCACGCTCGCCTTCGTTTGGAGATCGCCGAGAAATTCGCAGAGGTAGAGAAAAGGCGAATGCTATATCAACAGAGCCAACGGCGCCACCGCACCACTAGCCTGCATTCCACGGACGAGAAGAAGATGTCAAAGCTTTCAGCGGGTCTCATCACGCGGGACGCAGCCGCAAGAACAATTCAACGCGCATGGAGGACATACCATTCCAAACTGATCATGCGAGAGTTTCTTGACCTAGGCCTGACCACCGGTCGCATCCGTGACATGACCTTTGAGGATGTGGGTGCCCTGCTATCGGCGGATCCAGTCCTGACCACTACGGCCCGCGTCCTTCGACTCTGCGGGCTGCAAGACATGGAAAGCGGCACCATGGGCGGCCGGGGTGCTGTACGCACGTTTCTGAGCAGCTACTTGATTGTCACTCATCCTACAGAGGTTCTGAGCAGCAACGGAGAACAGGAACAGGACCTGATTGCCAAAGCACGAGAGCTCCTCGGGGCGTTCGAGCAAGTTACTCCTCTGCTCTCCTCCGGCTGCTGCTCGCCTCTGTCCATATCCACTGAGCTCCAGGTGCTGTGTGAGGCATACAGTGTCTTTTTCTCTGCGTTCCATGCGTGGAAGACGCATGATTCCAGCGTTTTGATTGAAATTATGCTAGCTCAATTTATCGAGCTGGAGCTGATCTGGCAGACGGTCAAGGATGATCGTGCCGGTGGTGTGGCCGACGATTATCGGCAGGGGATCAGACAAAACCAGATATTGCTCCTTGCCAGGCTGAAGCGTCTGGCGGGGTCTGATCGGGCCATGCAGATGGTGCGCGATGCTTTGAAGAAGGCCAAGCGTGAGAAGAAACGTACTGCCGCTAAGAAGCAAGCTATCCCGCGGTCAGCGGAAGTTGCGCCCTCCACCGAAGCTCTCACCGAGAGTGTTGCCTCTCCTATCAGTGAGACATTCAATAACGTGGATAGTGCAGTCTTGAAAGAATTAGACAGGCAGCGGATTTCACCTCATGAACGGTTCACCCGCATCCTTACTGCCCTTCCGGAGAACCGGGCGTTGGTCCATGAGCTCCTCATCAACAAGGCCTTCAAGATTGATGAGGAACAATATACGGAACCGCGCAGGCGGATAATGGAGCATATGTGCGAAATGATGCGCAGGGATGTTGATGACGGTCTGGGCACGAACTGGACGGTGGCTATGGCTACTGTGATTCAGGATCGATTGCTGCGCTCTCTTCGGCCTGGCAATTCGCTCCACGTATTGATCAGCGAAGTGCTGGATCCTAAACTAATCGAGAACCAGTGCAAGGCTGGTGCTTTTTCCTACGATAAATTTTTCGAGTTTATGAATACCATCCTTCCGAAGCTCTGCGCACCGTATCGTGACCCTGTGGTCAAGGCCTTTGTCGAGGATACGTCCGGGGATGCGATCGATCGCCTAGCGAGACTTATGGGAATCATCGATCTCCTGTCTCTCGATCACACCAATTTCATGATCCAGATGGCGGCGCCGCAGCTCATTCAGGAGGCGCCTGGCTACGAACAGAGAACGTTCGAGAAAGGTCTCCAAGATGGCTCGTTGAGTCTCGGGAAGACCCGCCGTTTCTGGCGGACGTACCGAAAGGTTCTCGCAGATGAGATGCGGAAGCGTGATCCGGAGAACGTAAATGGCGAGCCGCAACCCCCTATGGCAAAGATCTACGCGCAAGGATTGGTGGATCTGGTGCTGAGCAATGCCCCCGTGTCCGACGAGCTGATTCCTGAGACACTGGAGTTGGATCGCCAGCGGCTTGGGCGGCTACATGCCCAAGCATTTCGGATCGTTGCCACGGCGTCCATACTCTTAACGGCAAAGAACCTACTCAAACGTGATGTGCGGTCTCAATGGAAGGCCGAGGCTGACCGAATCCTGTCCCTCGACTTCAATGAGATCCAACCTGATCGGGTCCAGTCGATTTTAGAGTCCACTCACCCAATGCCTCCTAGTGCGAGCGCCCAATTGGCAGCCACCATTCGACGAATGTTGGCGCCAGTAGGTGCCGCTTGCGCCGCTGCCGCACCGGCGGGAGCGACGCAGACGACAGTCGAGATCCAAACGGACCCAGACCCGTCGGGCCCGTCTGCTGCCTCCTCGTCTACCGTGTCCGAACCTGCAGGATCCATTGGCTCTGCAGGATCGTGCGGGAGCGCGACCAATGCTGCCAGCTTTACGGACCCTGTGGCACGGTTGATCTTGTCGCGTCTACGAGCTCACATCCTCTCTCGTATGAGCGCGTCTAGCGCCAGCGAGAGGGTGCGGGCCACTACTACGGCTAGCCAGAGTCTAGCAGGAGCCGGTATGCCTGAGTTCGTGACAGAGGTCGGGCAATTGACCGAGGAGTTGGAGAAGATGCGTGAAGTGGACTGGTTATGTCATGGCATGATCTACGATCGCATCTTGGCCTAGGGTGTTTGGGCTTCAAACTGGAGCGTAATCCCAATTGTATATTTCGGGCTGACAGGGGCCTTTCTCTCTCTCTCTCTCTCTCTTTTCATCCGTTACTTTATGGTCTCTTATTTTTACATGGGCTTCTTTGGAGGGATATCTGTCTATAACAGGAGGGTAGACTAGGATGTGAAGGCGTAGTGTTGATATTTCTGTACCTAATGTGAACGCGAATCTATACAGTCGCAGTTTGTATGTTCGGGGCTCTATATGGATGAAAGTACTAACCTGTAAAATGAAGCCATTCTATATTCAACCCCTTTTCACGACCGCCAACTGGTGAGCTCAGCGCGCTGTGACGTGACTAATCGCCGATCCACGGCAACGACGACATTATCAGTCAGTATTCGCTCCCCGCCAAATCCCACGTTATTTCCATCCTCTCCCATTGGACCATCTACCGACTTCCTAAGAGCCCGAGTAGACATTTGCGGCAGGAAAGCAAGGAGGCGCTCTAAATATAGACCGGAATACCCTCAATCATCACCATGGCCGCCGTCGACCACCCCGCCTCCTCGCTCCCCCACCTCCAGCTGCTGTCGGATTTGACCCCGCCTTCGCTCGAACGCACCTGGTTAACAGCACCGCACCCCCGACTCCCCATCGTCGCCACCTGCAGCTCCGACAAGACCGTGCGCGTCTACTCCCTGACCAACTTCCGGCTCCTCTCCACCATCTCCGGCGGACACAAGCGCAGCGTCCGCACAGCAGCATGGAAGCCACATGTCCAGGGCGAGAGCGTGCTCGCAACGGGTAGTTTCGACGCCACCGCGGGGATATGGCGTCGGTGGGACAGTTATGGACAGACGACTGGTGATGAAGGATGGGGATTGGGTCAAGAAA